CAAAATCCATAACAATCCCACCACACTGACAAACAGTACAGACCTTGTAGACGGTCATCAACAATGAACAGGCTCTTCCTGAAGGCGTCCTCTGCTTGCTCTAAACTGTTCTTTGATTGGTCTGATTCATAACGGAAGAGGTAGGTCCGACCAATAGTGGCCAGCGCCCTTTGCTCCTCAGCGTGATCACTGACAGAGCGAGCCAGGTCCAGGTGACACCGCTGGTGCTGAAAAATACACGCAACGCTTTATATGCTTTCTTAACATCCATTTCAATATGAGCCTGTATGTTGTCCCCTATCGTACTTAGGCAAAGAATTTTAATCATTTTGAGGTTTAATGCCCACAAGCATTTCGAATAAACCAGACCAATCTACTCACTTTCAAAGCAGCCTCAATGTTTCCCATCTCCGCGTAGCACTCTCCTATCTTACGGTTAGCCACAGCTCGTCCAATCACATCGTTTAGCACCTCAGAGAGCGCCAACTCCTGCTGGTGCTCCCTAATGGCAGCCTCATAATCACCTGGGATATGATAAGGATCAGACAGGACAAAGTTGTTAAAAAAGCTCTAAAAAAGGACACTATTAAACTTTAGAAATAGGAGGAATAAATAGAAAGTAGTAATATAAGAACAACACTGGGATTATGCAACACAAAGAAGGAATTTACATAGAGTTCAAATACAGTTTGTATGGTGTCAACTGGGGGAAGAAATAGGAAAGTGCTTTTGAGGACAGCTGGACTGATTTAATAGCTGTCGTTACTCCACACTGAGAGGCGTTTAAATCCATAAGGAGGCATAAAAGCAACATCAGAAACAGAAGAAGACAGTGGCGTGTAGGACTGTGCAGCTTCAACATTAGAGATGATGCTTCTAAGCTGCTGACTGAAAACCACTTAAAACTCAACAGTATCGGCCTTTAGTATGTAAAGTGATTGTGAATAAATAGTTTAAAAAGCTTTGTTGCTTTATTGATGTTTATTTACCTCACCTCCATCACTACATTTCACAGAATGGGGAGTAACTGTATAATCTGCATGATCTGTGTCCTTGTATGTCTGTGCCATGCCCACACTCCTCTGCTGTATAAGATAAATGCCTTCTGCACAGATATCCTATTACTGACACACATCTCTCCATCAGACAGTAAATTCAATAGATCAATCACACATGTGTTAAGACGACTTACCATTTCTGGACAGCAGCTCTCCCAGCTGATTGCAGATGTTGCCCTCCTCTTTTAAGTTGTTGCTGTTCTGCGCTTTGCTCTTCGCTTTCTGCAGCTCTGCAGAGGAATCACACATTACACTTCAATCCAAACAGAGGAGGGCGGGGGGGTTTACAAACGCCTTTTCAACTCACAAACACCGCCACACTTACGTTTTATCTCCCGTGAGGAGCTCATGTTGGTTCAGGTCTTAGCACTGAGAGCTAACAGCTCGCTGGCAGTGAATGGCTCCAGTTAGCTCAGCGCACAAATGAACGACACGAAGCAGCTGTTCTCACTTAACGCTCACTGATACACTTGTTTGCGGGTCCATTGATGCTCCTGCTGTCGTTTAAGCATCCGATCGTGTTCGATGTCTCATCAAACAGCGCAACATTATAAACACGTCAGTAAGCATGTTGTTGCTGTAAGTTAGCTCTCGGTACCGTAAACTTCACAAAGCCCCGCCACTACTGCGTGAGCCAATACCGTCACTGCAGAAAATGGGCTAATTATCCCCTGATCTCAGCCTCTCAGGCACCAATCCCGCCTCCATCACTCGGGTTTGAAGGTGTGTGTCCGACCTTGCCCTCAACCCTGATCACCTGCTTTAACCTAGCACTTAAACATAACGCATTTGATTTGTTGACGTTTCTGTGGACGGTGTATAACCTGAGTACGGAGTGTGCCTGTCTGCCTGACAGACAAAGTTCAGGGCAAAAGTTGAACCAGGGTAGGTATGCCAACAGTTCATTGGCTAACGCGAGATCGTGACGTAGTTCCACGTAGAGACTGGAGGGAGCAGCAACAGCAACACAGAGGCAGGACAGAGGCAGTACTGAATGTACTATGTGCTGAAATCCCACAGATAGAGCTATAGTACTGCACTGACAGAAGTAACAATGCCTGCTCTGACTCTACTGTAAGTGGGCCAAGGCAAGTCAGTCAGGTACTAAGGTAAAAGAGGTAAGACTCCCTTTAATCCCTGAGCCTGTTTTGAACAGTCACATCTAAAGCCCATGTCACACTGAATGATTTGTGTTTTATTTATTACGGGAGACACAACAGGTGAATAGGGTAAAACATTTAAATGATAGATATCATCACCATTAAACTCCCCCAGTTGATTGCTTACATTAACAATTTTTTCTTAACTTCTGTGTGTAAATTATGCAATTACAGTTATCATCTAATGAAAAATGTGCTAACTCGCATACATTTCCAGAACACAGTCTGAATTTTCTCTCAGAATTCTTGTTTCGTTGTGTTGACATATCAGAGTCAGAGGGATTTCTCTTTTCATCACAATGTCAACAGCCATATAGAATCCATTTTCACCACTGCTTTTAGGAATACAATCTTATATTAATCCGTTTATGAATGATAAACAAACCCCTCTGTAAACCCCTTCAGAATATTATTAGGAATAAAACTGTAAGGTTAATAGGGTAAAACATTTTAACTAATAGATATATCACCATTAAAAACTATCTAATGCTAGCTTTTGGTGAGAATCTACAGACACAAATAGACAAGTAAATAAACCCCTAAATGTTGTGTTTTGATTGTTTTCTTTCCAGGAGTCAGATAGATGATAGATAGATAGTAGACTAGATAGATAGATGATAGGTAATAGATAGAGGTAGATAATAAGATAGATAGATAATAGATAGATAGATAGAACTAGATAGATAAAGAAATAACAGAACTAAAAGAATAAAAAAACCAATAAGTTAATGTGTTAGAAAATAAGTATATATGTGTTATGAAAACAAAATGGCCCACAATGTTTACTATCGCCTTAGAAGTTAAAGTTAAAAAATACTGAGAGGTATTACTTGGGAGCCTATTCTTTCCAGGAAAAAATAAAAAAACCTTAAAGAATTTTAGAATTTTCACACCTAGCATTAAACCACGCCAGTAGCTGCCAGCAGTTCCTCAAACGACTCTGATCAAGAACACAAGCGCACAGCTTGAAGCCTGCAAATATGGATTCTCATGTGATCTTGTAATTTCATAATCTCACGAATCCAGCTGGTGGTGAAATGTCAGAAGATAAGTAAATATTATTTTTGTGCTGAAATCATAGTGTGCAGACATTTTTAAGTTTGTTGTATGTTTACTTTAAACAAAGAAATATTGGCCGATTCTAAGTCGTTCTAAGATGATTTCCCTCTCGGCCAGAGAGTAACTGCAACTAGTCTAATTAAATGGTTTTCCCTGCCAAGTAGTGATGACAGCATGCTCTCTTTTCACACCCTATAAAACTGTGATGCCACAAAAAGTCACGACTGCGAAAGACTACACCTGTCGAACAGTCTTATATGTTTCATCCCAAAGAGGCCACTGCATCTGTGTTTTTATACTCTTTACAAAATCGAGTGTGAAAAAATCCAGGATTCAGTTGGGCTGTAATGATAACTGTGACTCAAAATTAAGATCATACAATATAGTGAGTACTGTAGTCGTAAGTCAGAATTCAGTTGTCATGCTTATGATTAGGGCTGTGTATTGGCAAAAATCTGCCAATACAACACGTATCACGATACAGGGGTCACGAGTCAATATATTGTGATATATTGTGATACTGTAAGCAAGGCAATATATTGCAGTTTAAAAAACGTTTACATACAGTATATGCGACCAGAACAGTGGGATCTGCCTTTACAACACTTGTACTCCACATACATTTACTGCTACATACAGCACTGCTATGTAGCAGGTGGGGGGGTTTAAACACAAAAATCGATACATCGTTTTTTAAGAAATATCACAAAACAAAATATGGCGATACATTATTTTTCGATATTTTGTTACACCCCTTCTTACGAGATACACATTCTCTAGCATGGCTCTAATGTGACTCTTGAATTATTCCTGAACACAACTGTAGGGGGCTCCCTGTAATCCAATAACTAAAAGATGAGTGTATAAATCAGAAATATTATAACAAGACGACATTTGCCCGATTGTTTGTTCTTTGTGCACTTGGTAGCTGTTACATTTGCCCGCTCAGCAGGCTGCTTTAAAGAAGGATCCACAAATCTGAAACACAAACAATGCCTAACATTACTTACACCAATTTTCAGATTGACGTCCATGGAGCTAACCCAAATTCATGATCTTATAATCCAACTGTTCAGTCTGCTAAAAAAAAAAAGGCTGACACATGGCCTGGATGGCGGTGATGTCAGCGCTGAGACGTTTTTTGATTGGCTCACACAGATGGACGGCATGCCCTGACAGACAAATAGTGGTGCAGCCTCTAGTGAGTTGCTAAATAAATAAAAAAACACACCCTTTATTCATCCTCTCAGTTTTTTTTCCGAAGCAGATTGGTAAGTGTGTGGTGTTCAGACTGTCTGTTGGGACCAAATGCATGTAGTATTTTTTTCATCTGACAAAACGGTTGCTTTATTGGCTTAATATTCTATATTATATATCCTCTTAATGCTATAGATTTGTAGGTCTCTTGTTTAAAAGCTCAACTGGCCTTATTTCTGCTGGATTTGCAAACATATCAAACTGTGTAATCATTTTTTGGAGCATCCAAAAATATTCCCAAATCTTATTCCCCTGAGAAGAAACCGAGAAAAACACCACTGCAGGCAGCGAGAAAATAACTCCTTAATTATAAAACCCTACATTTACTGTCTGTGTTTACATTAGGTACAACTAAAATCTTGCAAACAACCAACAAGCAGAAGAAAAAAATGCAGATTTAAGCTTGACATTTTTTTTTTTGACAGATATGAGACTGCAGCATCAGAAGGAGCTGAGACACCTATTGTATCAGACTCAGAGCTTCCACTCAGCCTTTGTGAGTCTGTATCTCTAAACCGTTGACCTTACAAATGAGCACGCTGCATCATTGTGAGAATTGGTGTTTCTGGGCGGTGCAAAGTGGAGTAGAGCACATCAGAGTGCAGGATATCTGAGCACAGCAGAGCACAGAGAGGCAGGCACATCCGCCGCTGAAGGGATCAAATCTGTACCATCTGACGCTCAAGGATTTATGGGTTTAGTCAAAATTGCTTTTCCCACTGTGGAGATTAAGCACCGTAGGATGTTTTCCACTCAGGCCATAGAATAGCCCAGTGTAGCTGCTGCCGGTGCTGTTTTTCCTCCCTCTTATCGGCTCCGGCACTGGAGAAAGGAATGTCTCAGGAAAGCAGAGTGCTACAAACCCTGGAGGGGAGCAGATTCTGAGTGACAGGAGAGGTCCGTCCTCTGGGGAATGTGAACCATGCAGGTGGATGCTGTTCTTGTGCTCTTCTGTGTTTGGCTAGCGGGTACAGCTGGGAAGATGGCCCAGTCGAGGGGTCACAAGCTGGAGACCTACAAACAGAGCAGGTAATGGCAAACGTGTGAAAGACAAACACTGGAGTGCATGCTTTTATTGTCTTAACAGTTTTAAATTAAGCTTTTTAATGGAAAGTCTGCATATTATTTTTTAAAGCTTCATTATGTTCTTTTAGATGTTTATTTTTTTTTTTAGGTTTACTCGATGTTGTCCAGTGTTTCCTGTGTCACCTGAGCTGCTCCCTCCCCCTCTGAAAACAGACTTATTCAGACAGCAGATTGGAGAGCATAGAGAGAGGGAGACCTAAATCCCCACATCTATTTATGTACTACTGGTGAATGCTGTGTTCTCTTGCCCCACAACTGCTGCAGGCCAGTTAATGACTGTTTTACCTACTGGCAGTGGTTGTAGTCAATGTCATTTTCTGGTGATTATTTAGGCTAATTGCTGCCTTGTTAATGCGTCCATTGGATTAAATGTTTTAGTCGGGACTGAACTAGATCAAGCGTCCTCGATTCTACATATTATTGATTGAATGAAGTGTTACATTACAAGTGTATTTGTTTGTTTAGTAGAATATTGATGTTGATTGATGTTTTAAAAAATGTGACATTAGAATACATTGAACTTCAGTTTGAACAAAGAGCTTAGCACTTTTTTTATACTCCGTTAGAAATGCTGATTACTATATTATAATATAGTAATAACAATAATATTTTTGTTAATTTGGAGCACATAATGAAGTGTTGGATCACTTGAATTTGTCAAAATGCTGTCAGGTATTTGAATGATTACATGCACAGCAAATTTGTCAGAAGGAATAACATTTTGAGAGCCTGATATTTAATACAAAATATATTTAAGTTCCCAGAGCCAAGAGACAGTTACTATGCCTTTTTTAGTCCGACCAACAGTCCAAAATTCCAACATATTCAGTTTATTGTCATACAAGACAAAGACAACCAGCAAATATTCACTTTTAAGAAGATGGAAGCAGTAAATTTGTCCTATTATTTACTTAAAAATACTTATATATTAAAGTCGCAGATTAATTTTCTGTCAATCGACTAATCATTTCAGCTCTAATATCACTGCTGTTAAGTGCAGGGAACAGTATGTGGAAGAATTTTACCTTTATACTACAAAATAAGCAATACGCATCTTTGACTTGCATTAAAAATGCAAATTGGATCATTATGTCAGTGAGTCAGTTCAATATGGAGCACATATTGAAGCATAAAAACACTGCTGCAAGGCATTTAAAAGAGAAGAATGTCTTCATGTGCAGCCACATTGTCAGAATTCATCTAAATATGAGAGCATGATCATTCTGGTTTGTCCAAAATGAATATTACTCTTTCAGATGGCTTTGAACACCTATTGAGAGCAACATCAGATCTGTCATTATAGTCTTGATGTATCAGTTTATTATTAAGTCAATAAAATGTCAGAAAAGTGTGACAAATGCACCTCACATTTTCCTAAAGCCCAAGCTGACATCTTTAGATGTCTCATTTTATCCGACCAACAGTCCAAAACGTGAAGATATTCAATTTAAAAGGCAAAGAAAAAGCAGCAAATCCTAACAGGTGAGAAGATAGAACCAGCAAATGTTAAAAAATAACTTAGAAATAGTTGCTGATTGGGGCGACTTGGTAGCTCACCTGGAGTTTGCGCTCCACGTAAGAGTCCTTACCACAGCAGCCTGGGCTCAATTCCAACTTGCAGTCCTTTGTGGCATGTCATCCCCCCTCTCTCTCCTCCCTGTCCTGTCACTCTTCAGCAGCTAGTGTCCAATTAAGGCAATAAAAGCCCAAAAAATAATGAAAAGACAAAAAAGAAAACAGTTGCTGATTAATTCTGTCAATTGACTAATCTTTACAAAGTCATCACCTTTAGATGGCTCTGGACACATCAGCCGAGTGAGCAGAGACACAACGCATCCAAATCAAGACTTCACCCAAATTAAAACAGGAACATTGAGAAATACTTGAGAAATAAGGAGCAAAACACAAGTTTCCCACCATTTATATCGACAAATACAACTATCAGCAGCACAGAGTTCAACTATTAGCCTCCAAGCAGCGCCAAAGTACAGCGCTGTATGCCATCATTATGCTATCAGCGTTGGTGGGACAGCAGAGTCCCACACAAGAAAACATCTGAGGAGAAAACCATCATTAGGTTTGAAGGAGGATTTTGAAGCTGGTCGCTGGTCTTCAAGTTAGAAAAAACACATTTGTGATTATAAAATCGAATCACTCATGCTTGCTTTTTTCATAATTCCCCATAATTGTAAAGCATACAAACTGTAAAAGAAGCTCATCTAAATTTGAAGCACCCCACAGTATTATGGGTGCATACTGCCGTATAAAGCCAAAACGCAGTAATTATCTTGCAATGTAGTTACGTAATAACAGTTGGACCAGAATCTGACTTGATGGTTTTTATTACCATCTAAACTTGTTTGATAAAATAGAAATGAAACATTTTTTTCAATGAAATTAAATGTGCCAGCTCTACAATAGGAAAGCCAGCTTAGAAACGCGAAAAGCAAACTGGTTCAAGCAATGCATCTAAAGCAAGAGAGCCAAATCAAATTATTCTTTTCATTATTAGTTAATCGCGATCATTTTCTCAATTAATTGATTAATCTTCTCAACAAGACGTCAGAAAATTCTGAAAAGGTTATAATTTCCCACAGTCCGACGTCTGGAAATGTCTTGTTTTGTCCGACCAGCAGTTCTAAACTCAAAGATATTCAGTTCACTGTCACAGAAACAGCATCAAATCCTAGAAGACGTAACCAGCAAATGTTTCTTTTTTGCTTT